AATCATGGAACACTACATCAAAAACTAATGATGTAATGTATGGTGGTTAACATAACAATAAAAAATTATTAAAAAAAAAACTAATGATGTAATGTATGGCAACTAACATAACATAATAAAATAAAATTTTAAAAAATGCAGTTCTTTAAAAAAACAACAACAGGGGCATCTGGGTGGCTCAGTCGTTAAGCGTCTGCCTTCAGCTCAGGTCATGATCCCAGGGTCCTGGGATCAAGCCCCTCATCGGGCTCCCTGCTTGGGGGGAAGCCTGCTTCTCCCTCTCCCACTCCCCCTACTTGTGTTCCTGCTCTCGCTGTCTCTCTGTCAAATAAATAAACAAAAAATCTTTAAAAAAATAAATAAAAAAACAACAATTATAAAATGATAAACTCTAGAAAAGCTGACAAGGAATGAAGAGAGAAAGTACAATCACCACTATCAATTAATACTGGGGGTATCACTAAGATCCTGAAACTGTTAAAGGATGATAAGAAAATGGTGCAAACAACTTTATACTCATAAATTTAACAACTTAGAAGAAATGGACCAATGTCTTAAAAGCTGCAAACTACAGAAACTCAACCAAGGTGAAATAAATAAACTCTAGAAGTCCAATAACCATTAAAGAAATGAAATATGTGATTTTAAAACATCAAAAAAAGAAATATTCAGGCCCATATTCACTAGAGAATTCTATAAACATTTAAAGATGAATTAACACCAATTTTGCACAATCTATCCCAGAAGAAAGAATCAGAGTGAACCCTTCCCAATTCATTTTATAAAGCTAGTATTATCCTGACACCAAACTTGACCAAAACAGTATAAAAAAAACAAAGGCCAGTATGTCTCATGAACATAGACACAAAAATCCTCCACAAAATATTAGCAAATGAATCCAGCAAAGAATTATACAGCATCATGGGGTGAGGTGTATTACATATGTACAAGGCTGGTTCTTCATTGAAAAATCAATCACTGTAATCCATAATACCAAACTAAAGAAGAAAAATCATAGGATCATATCAAATGACACTGAAAAAACATATGACAAATTCTAATACCCACTCACGATGAAAAAGAAACTCGTAAAAATTAGAAGTCATTTCTTCATCTTGATGAAGATCATCTAAAAATAAAATACAGCCAACATTATACCTAATGATGAAAAACTAAATGCTTTCCCTCTAAGGTCCTGAGCAAGGCAGAGATGCCCACTCTCACCACTGTTACTCACCTTAGCACTGGAAATTATGGCCATTACAATAGGCTAGAAAAAGAAATAAAGGCGTAGATAAAAGAAAAGAAGAATAAATGTCCCTCTTAGCAGATGACATAATTGTCTATGTAGAAAATCTCAAGCAATCTACAAAACCTCATAGAACTAAGATGTGAGTTCATCAGGTCATGGGATACAAGATGAACAAGCAAAATCATCCTCCAGTCCAGTGCAGCCTTCTGATGAGTATAGCCTGGTAAACATCTTGACCACAACTTGTGACCCTCAGGAAGCGTAAGAAAATAAATGTTTATTGTTTTCAGCCACTAAGTTTTGGGGGAATTTGTTATGCTGTGATAGATATCAAATCTCGTTGGACCACAGTTGCCTAGGGCCAATGTCTGCAGCCAATTCAGCCTTTTTTTTTTTAGTGTTTTATTGTTATGTTAATCACCATACATTATGTCATTAGTTTTTGATGCAGTGTTCCATGATTCATTGTTTGTGCATAACACCCAGTGCTCCATGCCCAATTCAGTCTTTATTCATTCACTCAATCACTCATTTGTTCATTCAGTAAATATTTATCATAAGCCGACCATTTGTCACATACTGCTGTTGGGCACCAGGTCATTCTGGGATGAATAAAACAGACCCAGATTGCTGCTATGATATAAGCTCTATCCTAGTGGGAGAGATGGATAGAACCCACCAAAAGAAAACATACTAACAAGGTTTGCTGAACTATGGAGGAAACAAATGGTGAAAAGGGGTTGGTGATTGAGACAACAGGGTAACTCCTAGGAAGAGTGATCAGGGAGGCCTTTCTAAGGAAGTGGCATCCAAGGGAAAATCTAAAGAGTAATAAAGAATAAGCAGCGAGAAGAGGTGGACAAAGGATCCAAGGAGAGGGACAAGCAGGTGCTAAGGAGGGCCTAAGGATGGGCACTGTGGCTGGAGCACGGGGCACATTGAGGTGGGAGAGTAAGATAGAAATGCAGAACCCGTGATTGGCTGGTCCCACTCAGGCCATGTAAGCCAAGCAAGGAGAGTGGGTTTCATCTGAAGAGCGGGGGACAAAAGGGTGTACTGGCTACTCCTGATTTTGTTGAAGTGCTCTCTTGCTGATGAGTAGAACAGAGGGAGGTCAAGGCACGAGGGGATTGGGAAGAACAGGGATGTCACCATTGCACTGAAGGAGAGAGGATGGTTGTAATGTCAGGAGGAAGAGGGGATATGGGCAGATGGAGAGTGCTAGGAGGCATATTAATGGGGAGTGGCAGAGAAAGGAATCTGGGGTGACAGGGTCTGGTTACAATGACTCTGGGAATAATGTTGCCTTTGATCTGGATAAGATAGTGTGGAGGAGGAGCAGATCTGGGCAGACAGTGTTTAGGGGGAAATTGATAGACCTGGTTGTGTGTGACAAGGTTGAGGAGCTGGCATAACCCAGGCAAGATGTCAGGCCCTGCACCTTAACCTGCCTCCCTACCATTTCCAGTGTAAACTCACCCCAAACCTATCAAGTCATGAGAATGAGCAACTCTGAGTGAGGACAAACCTCCCCAGCTCCTGGCAAGGACCATCCTCTAACTCTACACTTTGAAGAGGTCCCCGGTCACCACTGTGAACCCAAAAGGGACACCAGCAGCCAGTGCTTTGGCAGACCACACTCCTGTTACACAACGGTCCCTTGTGACACTGGATGGAGAGGAGAAGCCCAGTCTCAGCTTCACATGTCCCCATCGTCCCATCAGCTCCTTCAATCTCTGGACCTTCTTGTCCATTGCCAGTACTCTGCCCTGCGAGTCACAGTAGAGTGGACTTTCCAAAGAAGAAAGAGTCAAATGTGAGATGCTCACGGGGTTGGTGACGGCTGCTCCATGTCCATGTCTTGAGAACAGAGAAACACACAGGAGGGAAGCGCAGCCTGGGGGATTTGTACCCTGGTTAGGAACCCAGAACCCTAATGGGACCTTTGAAGGTATCTGAGGTCACAGTGCCAACTTGTGTGGCCAGAGGAGAGCAGGTGTCCCATGGGGACTGTGGGTGCTTGGAACTGCAGCCTGGGGGGTCCTAACACCCCTGCAGGCACCACCGATGCCTGAGAAGATGGGCTACTGGGGCTCCACCCCAGACATGGTCCATCCTGACCACAAGGAAGTGACAAGTCACGGGGTTAAGGAAGCTCCACTGAGGAGGAAATGCTCCAGTGCAGCTCCATTGTGTGGGGCGAGTGTGGACAGAGAGAGGAGCAGATGTTGTCTGCTTAAGGGGATGGCAATCCCAATCCAGTCCTGGACCAGGAGCTGTCCTGTCATCAGGATTGAGTGGAGCCCGGGGCACCAGGCCCAGGACTCTGTCTCAGTCCGTGGTGCTCCTCTCCCTGAGCTTCCTGCACCTCGACCAGCTTGAGTCAATGCGGAAGAAGATTGTGAGACCAAACACAGGCTGGACGAGGAAGTGAAGAGGCCTCAAAAAGCAGAAGTGGGTCGTGGAAACTGGACCCTCTGGGAGGAGGCTTGAAATTGTCCCCCCTCAGGAACCTGGTATTGCTGTGGGTGACGTCTGTGCTGTAGACATGACCCCTGGGGACAGAAGGCCGTGGCTGCCTGTAGCTCTGCTCCTTTTGCAGGTCCCAGGTGAGTAGGGCTGAGCCTGGGCAGGGAAGTCTGCCCTGAGGGGAGGGAGACAGGGGGAAGGAGGAAGGAGAGCAGAGAACACTCTAGGACTGGCCAGCATGTGTCAGCAGTGACCAGGAGGATTCAGTGCATAAAGCAGGTGAGTCATGTCCACTCTAGTGGACAGAGCAGCCCTGAGGAGCTGGGCACCTGTGACCACCATTACATGTGGTGTCACAGTCAGAAACAAGGTCTGGGTGCATCACACACACAAACACATGCACACACATACATCAGGGACACGCTGTCCTTGTGCCACTTTGTGAGGAGGGAGCAAAAATCCCCTCCCTCTGGTCTCAGGAAAAGCCAGTCTCCTGCCAAGGCCTCCTCCAGACCCTGAGGGCCCTTCGGGGACTCCAGGGTCACCATGACCCCAGATCCCCTTCACAAAGGCCCATCTGGTGAGGGACCACACTCGGCTGTGTTTTCCAGGCTGTTGGTGTCTGAGTGGCCCCACCTCCGTGACGGGCACCGTGGGTGGATCCCTGAGCGTGCAGTGTCAGTACGAGGAGAAATTCAGAGAGATTGCCAAATACTGGTGCAAGAGCCCATGTTTGGGGGATATTGTGAAGATTGAAAAGTCAGATAAAGAAGTAAGGAATGGCCGGGTGTCCATCAGGAACCATCCGGCAAACCTCACCTTCACAGTGACCTTGGAGAACCTCACAGAAGGTGATGCAGGAACATACCGGTGTGGGATCGATACATCATGGCTCCCCGGATATATGATCGACCTCACATTCCGTGTTGTGGTGTCTGTGACCCCAGGTGAGCTGTGGACGCCCCTCCCCCAGTGCCAGCACCAGGGCTGCCTGAGACTGGGGCTGATCACCCCCACCCCGGCAGGAAAGTGGTGGGGTGTGGTACAGAAGAGCAGGATGGGAATGGGGTTGGTGCCTCGAACACCAGGAATATGCATGTGTGTGTTTGTGCATGTGTGTGTATGCGTGCATGTGTTGTGTCTGTGTATATGTCCGTGTGTGTCTAGGTGTGTTTGCAGGCATTTTGTTGTCTGCACACTCACACAAGATTATGAACACCTCTGGCTGTCCTAGGAGTCTCTGAGTGCCCCACCCTGACACACTCTCACGCCTAAAACTCTCCAAGGGTAGGCAGTGGGAATGGCCCTGAGTCTGGGGTTGGCTGCCTTCCTGTCCTGACAAGGGTCCTGTCCAAGCTGAGGGGACCGGAGTCTCTTCCTGGACCGCTCTCTGTTTTCCCAATGGGGAACAGGACCCCTGGGGCATTCGCTCTTCTCCCTTACTGGCTGCCCATGACCCGGGGTCTAACAGGACATCAGTGTGGCATGGGTGGTTCCTGAGGCACCAGCCTCAACGCTGTGATCCTGGGGGTCTGCAGCAGCCTGAACTGGGCCCCAGGAAGGAGCCCCAGACCCTGATGTGGGGCTTCTGTGAGCATTTGGAGACCGCTCTGCCCCCATGGCTTGACCCTCCCCATCCCCCTCTGGCCCCTTGTCCCCACAGGAGGGAGCTCAGAGAAACCCCCGAAATCTCCCCTCAGACAAAGGAGAAGGATGAGAAAAATGATTTCTCAGGTCCTATGCCCCAAATATACTTCCCTCTGCTGCAAAGAATTCATCTTTAACAGAACCCTGTTTTTGTTTCCTAAGAACCACATGGAGATCATCCATCCTAGTGGGTAGATTTTTATCTTGTGTTCTTATTCTGATGGTGTCCCTGGTTCCTCTGAAGCCCTTCTTATAGGTATTCGTCTCGCTCACACGGGACATTTCCCTCCCAGGCCTTTGTGGGATCCTATATAACAGTGAGGGGCTGAGCATCCTCGGACACAAGCAGCGGTGTGAGGGAAAACCAGTTGTCCAGTTGGCTTCAGGACAGGCCACATTCTATGGGGTCCCCCGGATGTGTGTCTGTCTCTCTAGATCTTTCTTTCTGCCTATCCTTTGGTCCTGTGGCACCCCAGGTTCACGGGTCTGGCTGACAGTTTGGGGCCCGAGTGCATTGAGTGCCAGGGTCCCACCATTCCGTGTAGACTCCGCTGAGTGCCCTGTTGCATGAGCCTCACTCCAGACATCAGCCCTGCCTAAGGACCCTGCCTGCCCCACCCCCAGCTCCGGATCAATCTCTACAGAGTAAAGCTCACCCCATCCTCTGCCAGGGTAAACAAGGTGCAGGCTGGCTGAGCCCGGAGCCCTTGCTCTTTCCACACACTCTCACGTGCCCCGGTGAGCAGGACGACTCTGCCTCTGAAATCGCCCTCCTGGCCAGGGTGCACCTGGAGAAGGGGCCAGGGGAGGGCCTGAGTGCCAGTCAGACTGGGTGTGGCTGTGGGGGGATGTGGAGCCAGGACATCTGTCCAGATGGCCTGAGTGACCAGGACCAGGTGAGTCGGAGCTGGACAGCTGACAGAGAGTGGGAGAGCCGGGGGGGTGGGAAGCAGGCCTGACACAGGCTTCTCCCTGAATCCTCACTGCAGGCCCCAGCTCCGTGAGGCCCACCAGGACCCCAGGTCTTCACAGGACCCTGCCAGCCCCCACGTGGAGCACCATGACCCCGAAGGAGTCCCCCAATCCCAGTCAGTATCCTGGGTAAGGGGCTAGCAGCTGGAGACCTTTGACACTTGGGTCATTTCTAGGCAACACAGAGGGCTGAGGAATGTGGGCGTGACTGTCTTGGCCTAGGTCCCTCACTTATTTACCAACTCCACACTAAATTGTGGAAGTCCTACCAAGTGCCAGCTGCTCTTCTAGGGATACAGCCCTGGGCCACCTGACACAATCCTGCTCTGACAATAGTTGGGAAATTCACACAGTGAAGAAGTCAACACATTCATCAGTAGAAGTAATGCCGGTTCCTGATGAATGCTTGAAGGCAATTGTACACATGGGTCGGGGAGAGCAAGTGTGGGAGAGTTTCGGGGTGGTGGGATTGCTATTTAATACTCAAGGATCAGGGAGGCCTTGCCGGTGAGGGGACATTTCCTGGAGACCTGTAGGATTGGGGAGCCATCACTCAAATATCTACAGAAATCAGGCTCCAGAGACAGGGAAGAGCAAGTGCAAGTATTTTGCAACGGGGGCCCTCAGGACCTGGCCCAGGTCAGCCAGGAGCTCTGGGGGCCCCTGGGCTCTTTTTTCTGCTCCCCCTTCCCCGCCAAGGCCCTCGCCAGAGAGTCATCCCGTTGAAGACCAGGCCTCTAAGGGAGCGGAGAGGTGAGTGGGGTCATTCATTCCCTCCATCATGAACCACTGAATTTCAGGTCAAGGTTTTTGGAGGCACCACCCAGGTGCCAGATCCTCCCTGGGACTAAAGCACACATTTCTGATCCCTCGTGGGAAACACTGTTTGTGGGGAGCAGACATCAGACAAATAACCCAGCACTGATTTCTGGTCCTCAGGGGAACCCCCATGGGATGGGCTTAGGTAGAACCCTTTCCCTGGCCCAGGTCCTGCTTGCTCCCTAGGGTCTCCCTCCCGTCACTCCAATAGCCAGGCCCTCTCCATGTCCATAGTCCTGTCTCAAGGGCAATTGTTAGCCTGCGGGTCACAGGCGTGGTCTGTTGTGTGGGGCTGCCCCGCCCTTGGACCCTCCTGGGACTGATCTCTGTGTGGACTGTTGTAGCCTCAGGACATGGGCACAAAGACAGGAGGATTGTGGAGGGAACCAGGGCGTCTCCCTGAGGATGTGGCTCACTGCCTGTCACCGTGGCCCCCACAGTTCCCTGTTCAGCAGGATCTACTTCTGGCTCCTGGTCTTCCTGGAGGTGCCCCTGCTCCTGAGCACGCTCAGTGCTGTCCTCTGAGTGAACAGGCCTCAGAGGGGCTCTGGGGACAGGTGACATCAACCCAATAAAACCAGGACACCAATTGCTCATTAAGGGATAGGTTGATGGGGTGCACAGGTAGATGGTGGGCTTGATGAAAGCAATCCAGATTCATTGAAAACAAGTACCAAAGAGCCTGTTTAACTTTGGCTTTCTTCAAAATCAGATCCTGAGGGAAGGACTTAGGGGCAATTAGTTTATGAAAAGGTGATGCCAAGAAGCATAGTGAGGGAACAGGGCGGTGGGGAAAGCCAATAAAGTGTACTTTGATGGAGGAGCTCTCTCAGTAGCAACTGGGCTCCATCCCACTGGACGGCCTCAGAGATACTGCGTAGGACACGCCTCAGAGCTGGCCCACCTAGCAGTGAGGAAGCTGAGGCAGGGATCCACATACATCTGTCCTCAAGGTGCGGGAAGATGGCGGGGCTTCCTGTTTTCTTACAGGGTGGTGAGCGAAGGCCCCTTATGTGGAGAAAGAGTATTGTAGGCAGATGTCCCCTCCTGGGGACATGGATTCTGTGCCACTTCTGGCCTGTTCTGCTCAGAAAGCCACACACACTCCTATAGGTAAAGAGAGTCCTCAGGCAAAGAGGTGGGAGAGCTGAAGATGGGAAACCACTGGGCAGTCCAAGGCTGTCCACCGTTGCCCCAGAGCTCCAGCGGGCAAAGAGGCTATGAGCCAGGGTGCCAACAGGGTGTGCGAGAGGGGCCCAGTGCGACTGGGGGAGGACATCAGGCAAACCCGCAGGCTGCGAGCCAGGCGAGGGGCTGGCGAGGTGGAGAGCTTCAACAAAGGCCCAGTGTGGGGTGGGGACACAGCATTTGTGAGGATCCGGCGAGGCACAGTTACTGGGACCCGGAAGGGGGAGGGGATCGGCCACGAGCTGAGCTTGGGGGCACACTCCTGGAGGTTGATGTTGTTGAGCAGCTTAAGCAGAAGAGCAGCTCCAACGATCATACTGAATGCGCGTCAAGACTAATTTGG